TTATTATTATTATTATTATTATTATTATTATTATTATTATTATTATTTTATTGTTTTAGTATTGGGCAGCACGGTGGCGCAACTGGTAGAGCTGCTGCCTCTCAGCGAGCAGGTCCTTGGTTCAAACTCCGGTCCAGGGGCCTTTCTGGGTGGAGTTTGCATGTTCTCTCCGTGCATGCGTGGGTTTTCTCCGGGTGCTCCGGTTTCCTCCCACAGACCAAAAACATGCATGTTAGGCTGATTGGTAACTCTAAATTGTCCCTAGGTGTGAGTGAGAGAGTGAATGGTTGTTTGTCTCGTTTGTCTCTATGTGGCCCTGTGATGGACTTGCGACCCGTCCAGGGTGTACCCCGCCCCTTGCACAGTGATTGCTGGACATGGGCACCAGCGACCCCTGTGACCCAAAATGGAATAAGCGGGTAAAGATAATGGATGGATGGATGGATGTTTTAGTATTTTTGCAAACTGTGTCATTGATCCGTTTAGGTTGCAGCCCAAAATTTGCATCATTTTGAGTGTGATACAACAACTTTCAAGACATTTTAACAGCAAAGTTTATTTGCACCAATAAATGATAATCCCCTGTTTAAATTTGTACACTACAACAAAGTGAGCTATAACCACATAGCAGTTTTTAAATTATCTGTTTTTTGCTTTGTAATGTAGGGAGCAGAAGGAAATGCAGCACAGATGCTCAGAAGCAGAATTCCCAGTAGAATTATACAAACTCAAGCTTCCCACATGAGCTGTAGAGGGCACGGAATAACGAAGCTGAGGGACAACTCAGCTCCTTACCTCTGATGGGCTATTAGTTATTCTAGCTTGCAGAAGCCCCATTAGGTCTGCCATTTAATGCTCCCACACCACAGTCTCACATGAAAGCTTCTAGATTGATAAACCAAGCTCAAGCTTGAGAAATGTTCTGGCACAGATAACCTGACAAAGAACTAGTTTTGCTGTCTGTGTACCTCATAGTATTTGACATTACAGAAACCAATCAGACACGTTTGTGTTAGCCTCTCCAGTGACTTTAGTAAAGGACACAACAAGAACCAAAGAGGTCCCACAGTACAACCTGCTGACTTAAATCGTTTTCTAAAATGATTTATAGTCTCTGTGTAGAATATGGGAAATGAGCTGTGTGGCAGTGAGAGATACAAGTTCAACTCTGAGCCACTCTGACAGATACAATGGAAAAGAAAGATGTCTCCTGTACTTCACAGCATGTCTGGGAACTAATACAAAAGAGTCCAGTGGCATTTCATCTTTCCCAGCCCAACATGTCCTGTTAATCACACTTTACCAAAGAGCCAAATGGCAAAAAAACAGGAGACAGATGCACAGCATTTGGGGGGTAAACAGGGAAAAAAGTGCTTAGTTAAGCATGAGCAAATTCATTAGGCTCTGTATCAGGGCTTTCTGTTCTAAAGTCAGCCTTGGGGTGAGAATTTAAACTATACGAGACAAAAGTTTTACTGCTGTGTCTAAACAGCTCCTTCAGTTTTGTTCACTGCCGTGGCACAGCCGACTTTGTCTGAGCCCAAATACATAATTTATCTTCTGTTTGGCTAGAGGCCTTCATGGTGTTCTGCAGCATGTGAAGACTATTTGAACTTTGTAAATTAAACCAATAAGAAAAATGCTAAATACACAACTGCTAGAGGCAGGGGAAAGAAAACAAGTAATATGATCATTGGCAGGTAGAATGGTAACGATTTACATATTTCATACGACAGAACAACAAACATCAGGACTCACATAAATTGTGCATTTGTTACTGGGACTGTTGCAGCAAACACACGGGATAGGAGAGGACCACCTGCACAGTGACTTGATCTAACACATGGTTTTCATTCAGTTCAGCGTAGCAAGGTGTTTATGAATAAACAGAGGCTTGCTGATAATACACGGATTAATCAAGGTACCTTATCGTGTAAGTAATGAAAAATGAACCTGCTCTGGGTTTAATGCATCGCACTGTGTGCAATTTCCCCAAAAAGGGGAACTGCCACAACAGTTTCAGCTAATGGGAATCATATTTTACCAATAGCTTTACATGAGTCTGAGCAACAGCTGGCTGCTCATATGGAACTGAAATAGCCAGCATATTGCAAAACAAGTCACCATGCACTGACCTTTGCTTCCTTATCCCAATGCAGACAAGAGCAGGGGAGAAAACAAGTTATTTTTTCCCCACAGAGTGTTAGAAAATTTACCTCGCACGCCTCGCAGTGGAAATGGATTTTTGGAGGGCAACAGTCATACCTCACATTCCCTGGAGCCTGAGATGGTGTATGTGTAAGGTCCTGTCCCATTAACCAGCATATCCATAGTTTCTGAGTGTGAAGGCTTGTAGTCCACATAGTACTCTTGTAGTGATGAATTAAATGAGCGCTCAGTCTCCCGTGACTTTTTCTGGCGCTTTTTGACTGCTGAGCGCTGCTGAAGCTGTTTGAGACTGCTCGGATAGTGCTTCCATGAGACATAAATAACCAAAAGAATTATAGCCACAGATAAAAAGAGGGCCACGCTTCCAGCTATGATCTTGTGGAAGGACACATACTCCGTATCTGGAATGGATATGGTGGGGGAGGCCTCGGAAGGAGTTGGAGAGGCCGTCCTGTTCCAGGTCAACTTTATGTCAACCACAGGCTGCGTAGGGAGAGGCAGCAGTTCAGGCTGAAACGCAGACGTGAGGGGAAGTGTCGTTGAAGGGATAGGAGACGGAGTTGCTGTACAGATGTTATACGTGTCCACCACATCTGTTACTTTCTCTCCTTGTGCCTCCTTGGGACTTGCACAAATCATAGTAGTCTCCTTGTTACCCTTGAAGGCTTTGAGCCAGGACACCAGGGGACAGATGTTGGGGTTGCAGTGCCACAAATTACCAGCCAGGCTGATGGTGGTGAGGGAGATCCATGTCTCTGCTGTCTGCTGAGAGACATTGCTAAGTTTGTTGGAGTCCAGGTTCAGAGTCTGGAGGTTAGGAAGGCACTGAAATGTGCTTGGATCCAAAATCTCTAATTCATTTCCTGAGAGGTCCAACTTTTGCAAAGAAGTCCACATCCATGGCAGACCCTGGGTTAGCTGTTTGATACGGTTCCACTGCAGATAGAGTGCCCTCAGGTTAGTCAGGCGGGGGAAATGGGCAAAGTTTATCTTTGAAAACTGATTGTGCTCCAAGTGAAGCTCAATGAGCTTAAGGAGTCCTGCGAAGGCATTACGTGTCAGGCTCCTCAGCCTGTTGTAGCCGACATCAAGAAACTCCAGGTTGCGACAGTCGAGAAAAACCCGCATGGGGATAGTTTTTAGGGAGTTTGACCTCAAGTGTAAACTGAGCAGCTTCCGTAGACCTATGAACTGATTAGGCTGGAGAACCTGCAGTTTGTTGTAGGACAGGTCGAGATTACGTAAATTTGGGACGTCATGGAATGTGTTGTTTTTAAGCTGCGTGATCCTGTTGGAGCTGAGAATCAGTTCTTTGAGCCTGCGTATCCCATGGAAAGCCTGACCGTCCACGGCGTTAATGTAATTGTGGTCGAGGTAAAGCCAAACAAGTTGGCTCAGGCCCGCGAACTGACGAGCTCTGAGGCTTACCAGGCTGTTGTAGCGAAGGGACAGCCCCTGCGTGCTCACAGACACGTTGTTTGGCACGTCACGAAAGGCGTTGGATTCACAATATATTATTTTCCCATCACATCTGCAGCTCTGCGGGCAGCGACGCTCCCGGATGCCATTTGGAGCTGCAAGCAGCCAGGCGGGCACCACCAATGTGAACACAAGCCATCTGAAAAGCACAGAAGGTCCTGGAGACACACACACAAAAGTGATAGATCTGAGAACATGCATGATGGTGGAGTTTCACTGAATTTAAAAGACAATATTTAACCTCTGAGACTTCTGTTTAGAGAAGAGGGTGATTTGAATTTAATGTTTTTAATATGCTCAAGTTGAAGCTCTACTTTTCAAACTGTAACTTGATCAATGACCACATTATGTTTTGACAGCTGTTGAAAGAAAAACCTTCAGATCCCCCCCCCCCCCCCCCCATCCTGTTGTGGTCATTCAGAAACTGCAGGCAGCACAGAGACCCCAGGAACACCATTAATTTAACTTGGACGAACGCAAAAGGCTGAATAAATGCGTACAGCGGTGAACATACCCATACTTGCGCGGTGTCTGCTTCTCCTCATCATCACGGATCTCGGTTTCTCCTCAACATGTTTAGGAGGCGGACTCGGCGTTTTGCCCAAACAGTTGCACATCCATCCAGGACGCCTGTCCGCCGCTCGTTGCGCCGCGCGCTCACAGCCGCACACCTGTCGGAGAGGAGGACGGTGTGCGTCAGAGAGCCTCTGCCTGGAGTTTGCAGCCTCTAGCGCGCAACATCAGCTTGATGGTGCGTATTTCTGAACGCGACCTTGCACAGACGCGCTCAAGCTGACGATGACACTCTTCAGTTTTTCATGACGGGGGAGGATTTAGAGGGGGGGGGAGAAAGGACATTTCCAGCACCGAGCCGCCAATTGTTGATTCTCCACCAAGTCGCGGAAAAGACAGACGAAAGGGATGAAAACTGCAGTCCAAGTTTCTGCGTCCTGCCTGAGGCGTGCGGAGGAGAGGCTGGAGGAGGAGACGCGTCGGCTGTGACACCAGGAATAAATCAGTCCTACAGCAACAGGGATGATGTTGGTGGAGGAGAGGAGGACGGGGCTGGCTGTGGATCGGTTTCAGGACACGAGATGCCCTCTCCTGGCCACTGAGTGATTCTCCTCAGCCCACTCAGAACCAGTCCTTTCTGTTCAGGCGACACTGGTTGCTCTGCGTGGAGAAGCTTCACTGCCAGTATGAACAGCCAGCAGTCCCACATGATGGATTTATTATAAACTACCTAAGTGACAACTCAAATGATGACATATTCTATATTCCTGTTGACAGGCACTCACTGTGAAGTCTTTCTCAAGCTTGGTGTTTATTAACAGTTTCTGTAAACCTTGACTTTAATGATGTTTCGATTGATAATAAGTTTGATATATCAATTTTTTTTGTTTTTGTTTCTTGATAGAAAAATGTTTCATATACATGTTCAGAAGATTAAAGTTCAGTCTACAGGAAGAAAAGCAGAAAATAAAAGTACAGTTTATTAAAGTTAACCATGTTAGTAAACCTTACATTGCCCTTAGCAAAAAGTAGTTTATTTAAGTGTACTACAAGTATACTTATTTTACACAAAAAATGAGGAAGTGTACTTGAAGTTTACTTTTTGTCATCTTTATTTGATATACTTAAAAATAGTATAAAAATGTCCCAATTTAGTCCAAACAAGTATTAAATCAGTATACATCTAGTACACTACAAGTATGGTGTGTTATACTTATGCTTAACTTAAAGTATACTTGCAAAAATAAACTTCAAATATACTACTTTTTGTTAAGGGATATGTAATTATCTCGTTTTTTCCACAGTAAAGGCAATGCATGCTCTCTTTACTGTATGTGACTGTAGATGCAAAGCATTATGGGTAAATCTTGACTAATGATTGTAAGTTACAGTTGGTAATTTTTTTAATTTGTGGTAAAGTTAAAACTAAACCTGCAGTCTGAGAGCAAAGTGTTCTGTTAGGAAAATATGAAACAATAAGATCTGTAATATTAGATGAGCCAGGTTGTTGAGAGCTTTGTAGGTTAGAAGTAAGATTTTGAATTCTATTCTGGATTTGACAGGGAGCCAAAGGAGAGAAGCTAAAACTGGAGAGATATGATCTCTCCCATTAACTCCAGTTAAGACACTGGCAACAGCATTTTGGATCAACTGAAGATGTTTTAAAGACGTATTTGGACACCCAGATAATAAACCATTGCAATAGTCCAGTCTAGATGTGACAAATACATGGACCAGTTTTTCTGCATCATTTTTAGATAAGATGTTTCTAATTTTAGTGATTTTACTCAGGTGGAAGAAGGCAGTTCTAGTAACGTTTTTAATGTGATAGGCATGTCCTGATCAAAAATAACACCAAGATTTTTAATATTAGAGCTGGAGGACAGATTAATGCCATCTAAGGAGGGAGAAAGACTGAAAAAATCATTCCTAAGGTGCTCAGGTCCAAAAACCAAAACCTCAGTCTTGTGTCAAAAGGAGAAAATTAAGGGTCATCCAGGTTTTTAAGTCTTTAAGACATGCTTGTAATCTAAGTAGCTGCTTGGATTCATTGGGTTTAATGGCCAAATATAATTGTGTGTCATCAGCATAACAATGAAAATTTATCCCATGCTGTTTAATAATTTTACCTAATGGAAGCATATATAAAGTAAAGAGTATTGGCCCAAGCATTGAGCCCTGAGGAACTCCATGACTAACTTTGGTGTATGAAGAAAATGTATTATTTACATTTACAAACTGGAATCTATCAGATAGATATGATTTAAACCATTTTAGAGTTGTTCCTGTAATTCCAATATCATATTCAAGCCTCTGTAGTAAAATATTGTGATCAACTGTATAAAATGCAGCACTGAGGTCTAACAGGACCAGTATAGACACAAGTCCATTGTCTGAGGCCATGAGAATATCATTAGTTACTTTTACTAGTGCTGTTTCTGTGCTATGACAAGGTCTAAACCCTGACTGAAACTCTTCAAACAGATTATTTCTTTGTAGACGTTCACGCAACTGACCTGCAACTACACAAAGTTTGTTTTCTCAGTCATCCAGGTATATAACAACAAAAAAGGTTGAATCATGTCATCTGGACTTCGTTTCGAAGTCCAGATGACATGATTCAACCTTTTTTGTTGACCTGCAACTATTTTCTCTAGAATTTTTTAGATGAAAGTTAGATTAGATATAGGTCTATAGTTGGCCAGAATTTCTGAATCAAGATCAGACACATTTTTTTTACAATTAAATACTACAAATTTCCCACTAAATCCAAAATAAATAGTTTGTCTCCGTTCACACATTACGAGACTATTATGTTTTCAGCCATCAACTGTAAATCACTTAATTTAAATGTACGTTTTTACAATATGAACTTAAATGTACTTCATCATGAGTGATCACAAAATATATTTGCTTAACACTCTATGGTTGGAGTCAACATTGTCTGTTTGTTAGCAAAATATCTCATGAAACACTTTAAGATTTAATGAAAACAGCTACAATTCCATAAGTTTTACACATAAGATGGTAATAGTTCAAAACTCTGGAATGAAAGGCAGTGAGCGATATACATTTCTTCAAGGAACATCAGACTTTTAATTTGTGTTGCGGTGTTTGTTTCTAAGATTAATGAAGCAACCTAAAAGGCTATTTTATTTAGGTTTTCTTCATTCTGAACTGTCTGCAGTGCTTATTCTGTTTTAGTCAGAACACTGCTGAGACGCACCTCAGAGTGTACAGATTTATCTCACAGATTAGACCAGACATGTTTAGTTTAGTTATTCAGTTCCTATTGTTGCACCTGACACTGAAATGGCTCATGCATAAACAAAGGCACCTGTAAAGGCTTTATAATATTGGGCTTTAAGACAGGGTCAAAGCCATAATTTCTAATGGATCAGTTTGCCCCTGCACCTAATGAGCAGCAATAATTACCATTAATGGACATTAATGAAGATTTGAGCTCAAATCATCAACAGTTTGTGACAAAGACATTACTGGAAACGAGACAAAAGCAAGAGCTTTCATTGCTTCAGCTGCAATCACTGATTTGATTTCTATTGTTAGATCAATCAGCTAACTGGAGTTGAAGGGCAGGGCAGGAATCTACTGACACACACATACACACACATCTCTCTGTGTCGCTCTGTCACTCTCATTAACGCACAAACACACACACACACACCTATCAAGGTGACTGAAAGCATCAACAGAGCTCTGAATGTAACATCCCTAGGTGTAGCTCACACTCATCGGTCTATCAGACGATCTGATGGCGCTTGCAAACGTTAAATCATTGTTGGTTTGTCAAACTGAAGTATAAAATAGATGCTTGAGTTTTATTTTAAAAAATAAATGACACTTTAAAAACAGTCACCTTTAGTTAGGTTTATGGAATCATTAGCAAATTAATTTTAAGGGAACTCACAGAAGGTTTGGGGGTACGTTTCCAACTTGAGAACATTTGGTGTCAGTCTGGTTTAGATCTGCCACGATCCACTGATCTTACGTTGGCACGAAAAGCTAAAACTCAAACAATGTTGTAAATATTGAGCTATAATTTGGTGTAGCTGAGAGTCAACTTCAACGTATACTCCAAGCACTAACTGGCAAATACTGCATATATACACTGTGTGTGTGTGTATATATATATATATATATATATATATATATATATATATATATATATATATATATTTTTTTT